AGATTTTTCTTAAATTTTCTCTGGAAATATTTATTAAAACTGAATAAAGTGTGGACTGAATATGATAATCACTTCAGAAAAAACGAAATTCGGTGTAACTGGACTTCTGTCAGTGTTCGAAAATGAAATTAAATGTACGAAGTATTTCAGTTGTTCAACATGAGGTTGTACGGTAAACAGTAAAATTGTGAAGAACTTTCACAATTGTAGGTAATGTTTTGTAAAGTTCACAAATTTTAGTGTAGATTCGAATAAAATTTAAAGTTAGTTTCTTTGTAATATTTAGAATAGTTCAGCTACATGACCTATTGCATTTATATATTATTTTGAAGTATAATTTATCTGATATATATGTTATATATATATATATATATGTATATAATTTAATAAAGTAATAGAGAATATAAATGAAAATTATCTTCTAGGAAATGCGAAGCGAAGTAATTATTAATTGGAATTGGCAAACAAATATACTGGAACTGCCAATTAAAATGTAAAATAGAAAAATAAAACAAGAGAATTATTACTGATACCACAGGATGATTTCTGTTCAATTTTATAACATCCGAATGACATCGTAAAAATTCGGATATGTGAGATAATTCCCCGACGAGCGAATAGGATTGAATAAAAAAGCAAAAGTGAAATTGAAAATCAGATATGCGTGATAATGAAACGCGCATATCATGAATTGTTGATGGTTCTATGGAGAGGTTCCAGGTCCCCTTGATAAGTCGGGATCTATCCATGGAATCAGAAATAATTTTCTTGTTTTAATCTTTTTATTTACATTTTAACTGGTAATTTCAGCGTATATATTTAACCAATTCCAATTAATAATTACCACACTAGTGCACATCTGCACTCTAAATTTCAGTTCGCATTTCCTATGAGATAATTTTCATTTATATTCTCTATCACTTTATTAAATTACTCGTAAATAGTATCTTTGTAGCAATAGCTCAGAATTTTACTTTTTAGACCTATTAAATAAATTTTCAAATTAATAATTTTTAATTTTTTGTTCTTATTTTTCTTTACTATACATACATGCATATACAAGTAACTATCACATAAATTGTGCATATATAATTTTTAAACTAATAATTTAAACAAAGGGCAAACTAATCTCAGAACCAAAACCCAAATATGCTGCAAACTACATTAATTAATTCAATGGCAATCTTTATTAAATTAAAGCAGAAACAAAGTAAATCCGAAATCATATTCACCACTGACATAATGAATTGGTACAAAATATTTTTTTGTAGATGCTAAAATAATATAGTAAGAACAACTAGCAAATGAGACTTGCTCCAAAATCCACAGATGATCAAATGCCGTATAAAAACAAAATTCGCACAACAGAGAAGTGGAAAAAATGCAATAACAAAAGCAAAAGAATTTTATATCTCCCGATAACATCATTATTAGGGGGTTAATGCAATGACAGAAGAAAAAGAAAAAGCCTGTTTCTGAACCGACAAATGTACAAAAATATGTAATTAAATTAAATCAAAAAGATAAATTTATTTAAATTAATACCATGAGTCTAACCCTACAGCAGAAATGAAAAAGGCAACTTTCCTAAATTAAAATGTTTATAATGAAACGAAAGTGAATTTAAATATTCGAAAAAGAACTATTCAAAAACTATTAAATGTACAACAAATAAAGCAGTAATTCATTATATAGATAGCTGGATGGTTGGATAGCTAGATAGAAATAAAAATTTTAAATATTTAATTAAATACGATTTATGTCGCTCAAAATGCTGAGAAATTAATCTGAATAATACATAAAAGAATAAAATAGGATGTAAATCTACCAAAGGCAGCTTGCCATTTTGGTAGGTTTAAAGTTCTATTTTCGTCCTCTCTCTCTTTTTATATGCATAATAATATGAGATGATGCAATTATAAAAATAATGGAAACCTAAAATTAAAGAAATGATACAAAAGCAAAATTTAAGGAATTTAAATAAATTTAATTGAAAGTGCAATGACATAAATTTTCAAAATAAAAGAAATACTGCAGTATTATTTTCAGTTAATTTTACAGCATTTCAGGAAATTTGTGTTCATTTCAGTAGAAGTATTATAACTAAGAGAAACGTGACACAAGGAAAACAAACCAAATGTTCTTTTATTAAGACATTTATAAATTGTTTTATTTAAACATTCAGTTACATAGACTAAATATGCTTACATATACAGCCATTGTAAGGAATCACATTCTTCAAAATAACATAATGCAACTTCAACATAATGCAAATTATATTTTGCATTAAAAAATAATAAATTGAATAATAAACCTCCTAGACATGTGGTAAGGTTTACCTTTACTCATAAATTTCACAAGCATTGAATGTAATTTTTTATCATATTCCATGGTTCAAGGAAATTGTAAATGAGGTACAAAATTTAAATGCTGCTTAGACACGAAAAAAACAGATGATAGTTTACAGGCCATTGCAAAGCACTGGCAGCGCAAACATTGCCTATGAGGGATAGATTAAGAAAACCGACAAAAATCGAGAATTAAAGGAGCATTGTATGAAGGAAAAGAGTGTAATAAAAGTGTTTTGTATAATACACCCGTGTGCAACAATAACAGAATTTGCAAATTATGTCTAGTTTTACGAAAAGTATTGAACCTAAGGTAGTAAAAATACCGCAGAAGAATTATGCAAATATTCACAGTCGAATACGCAAGCGTGCATTTGTCTGTGGAGCTGCAATAGTGAAGGGGCTATATACACATGAGGGGTTTTTTACGATTTATGTGCTCGTACTCCTCACGGCATTCGCCGGGTTTCTCGCAAAAGTTGGGTAAATTTTATAAGGTATCAGGCGAAATGAGTAGTCATGACCGAATGGATGACGGAATGAGATGGAGAATCATCGGTGGATTGGAGGCAGACCAATTACAAACATAGGTGTCTACAGAGGTCAATGTAACACCCAATGTAGTCTGCAATTAGTGGAAACAGTTTCAGGACACTGGATCCATATCGAGAAGAATTAGACAAGGTTGACCAAGATTCGTAACGACGAATAAGGATAGGTACTCGGCATTTTCAGCTTGGCTAAGAAGACTGCAACAACTTCCTTAACCCTACAGCACATGTCCAGGGAACTTTTGGGATGGCAAATTCATCTCTCCATGCTCTTTCGAAAAACGTCCCGAATTTGAAAACTGGTTTGCTGTAGCAGTGTGATCGATTGTCACAGAGATTCCTCGACTGCCTTTTGTCCAGTATGCAGTCACACTGCGCGAGGTGTCATACTGCGAAAGAGGACCATAGCCCATATTAGACTCATTTTCAGTTCGATATCACAACATGGATTTTGGACATCCTTACCTTATGAGCTTTACTGACAATCATGCCTACATACCATAAAATGACTTTTGAATGCTACATGTTTTTCTCTGTTTCATTAAAAGTTTCGATGAAATCTGTCCATTAGTTTTTCAGAAATTCGATGCAATATGTAAATTCCCTTAACTTTGTACACAAGTGTATTAATGCCACTATAAAGTTCGACATTTTACGTTTGATGTATGTTTCTTTCATGTGTATATTTTATCACAAACCTATTAACTTCATGGACCGTATTATTTAGATAATTTTGCATCTATTTATACGTAGGACGTTAAGTGTTTCAAGCATTTCCGTTAGGATAGAACGTCATTGTGTTAAAGCAGTTACTTCGAGTTCTTCTTTTGCGTAGAATTGTTTTATTAAAGAAAAAATATGAATGGAATTTTTTCATATTTCCTTGCGGATTACGATTTCATGTTTCTTCCGGATCATTCCATAATGTAAATATTTTTTCTTAAAATCGGTTTTGCTGTCAAATTATGTTTGTATGTATGTTATCATGCTGAAATTTCTATACCTTGAGTGCAAAGACAGAATGGAATCAAATGTTTGTAAAATATATATGGATATTTAGAATTCATACTACTGGAATTACTGTTAAATATTTTTTACCACCACAAGTAAATGCTTCTTTATTGTCATATCTTTCCTTTTTATTTAAACGTGATTTGCTTGCCCTTTGTTACTAACGAGGAAAACCGTTCAATTAGCTCAAACTTCATTTTATCTCAGGAAAGAAGATGTCATTATTTTCTAATCATTGGTTCATTTGTTTACTGTTATGTGGCTGATTATACAGCTTCTCTACCTTTCAGAAAACACCGGTGCGCGGTAATTCACTTCTTGTTCTCTTAGTAGGCATTCTCTGTATTCATAGCCAGCTTCCTAACTCAGCTAATGGTCCCGAAATTATACATTTTCCCTACTCATTTCTCTTCTTCTGCGACAATTGTCAACTTTTTAATTGTAAAAGAATAATATTTACGTATCTTTTTGAAATATTTTCTATTTGCTTGCAAGAATAACCATGCCTAAGTAACAGAACCATTTTATGCATATCTGTCTCATTAAAGTTTCCTGTTTTAAGTGTTTTGAAAAAAAATATATGCTTAATTTACTAAGTTGAAATTTTACCTCTTAGTTTGTAGGGTTTATATTTATTTTAACTAACATTTATTTTACGTTTAAGCTATCTTTCCTGTCAAGCCTTTACTTTCCCCTGGAATTGCCAATGCCAGAGTATGTAAATTTTAGTAGAACGCGCAAAGTATTCAAAATTTTAACAGAAGTATTTTAAGTTAAATAGAAGGGAAACGAGTTTGTAGGTGTGCTTTCTGGATTCACGAGCGTGAAGGTTGCTAGGTAGAAATTTAAGAACCGCGCGTTTCGGCCTGTGTGTCTACTTCGGCAGTTAGTGAATCTTTCAACTTCTTAATTGAGGAAGCTTTGCTGAAATCTCAGTTGTATCTTAGAACGCGGTTAAGTTTACAGTTACAATTATAGAGCCTCGTAGATAGTGACCTCTTTATTTATTCAGCCTTTATTTATTTTTAGTTGTACTTTATGATTTTTATTTAACCCGCCGGGTCGGCGTAGTTTGTGACGTCAAGTGAACGCATTCTGTAACTTCTAAAGTGGAATAATAAAAGGGAGTTAAACCCTTCTTAAGAGTTTGTGTAATTTCCAGTTCATAGCAGTCACTACTATTGCTGCGGGCAAGTTGGGGCCACGCAACATCACAAGTTAAACAAAAGTATATGTTTTCTACGAAAGCGGAAGAGAAATTTCAGATATATTTATAATAATATTATGCTACTTTTCAACTTTTACTTTTAACTTAACTAATTTTTTAAAATTTTTAAGTTAACATAACAGTGTCTCACAAAAGTGATTACAAACTTTTAAATCCGAAGACAATGTGAAACATCTAAATGCGTTAAACTGAAATTGTAAAATGTAATTTTCTCAGAGGTATGAATTTATTAGTCTTCTTGTTACCCTAATCTCAAGCATAAGATTTTGAGCTAAAAAAATCTGAATACTGAACTCAGAACTTTCGCTTTTATATGGGAAATTAGGCCACGAAAGTTGTGACATTGTGCTTTAGTAGTAATTAAAAAACTACGCTAATTCTTATTTTTATGACTCATTTCGTCACGTACCACTCAGTCTAGAAGTTTATGCATATTTCAGAGTAAGTTAAATAGTTTAAAGTGAGAGGAAATATAGTTAGCCGGCTGGAATTTGTAGAGATTTGGCTTTTGTTTCCGCTGCTCCCGTTTATTGAAAGGAAGCCGCTGGTGTAGGAATAGACATGAAATCCGGCATTTGAAAACATGGGCCAGTAAGCGTTGAACATTATTAAGCTTCGACTATTAGACACAGTTAGTGTTGCATCTTCGCATAGAATCATTAGTTTTGTTGCCAGTTAATTTATTGTAAAATTCCATCCACCAGTTTCCGTCAAAGAGACTTAAATTTTATGTCGTATTATTTGAAGTTAATAGCGACAAGGAGATAAAGATTAATTTTTACATTTTTTTTTTGGTATACTGAGTCCATTGCCCGATTAAGAAAAAAGGCGATAACTCGACGTTCTACAGACATAATTTATAAGTTTCACTAAGAAGAAATTAGTGATTAAGGCAGTTAAACACCCTTACACGCTCTAAGTGATCAGATTTTTTTGTTTAAAAAAGAATTCTTAACTAAACAAATTATTTTATTGGATTCCTATTAGCTTTCAAAATACGGTTCAACGTTTTTAGCACAGTTTTGATGTAATTTTCTTTAATTAATTCTAGACTGATTTTTCTCCAGTTATTTTGTATTATCAGTGTCAATCGCTGTTTTAAAAAACATTTGTTTTCGGGTTTTATTTTCCATTTCTCGTTAAATATATACTATGAGTTACATATATACTTTACTCGAGACACCAAGGAAATTGCCTGAGAATTTCGTATCTTCGTATAAGTGTATTACAGCCACAGTTCATGATTACATTTTAAATGGGCGATATGCAGACTCATATCCTAATCCTCTTCAGCCTCTTATAGAACACCTATAAGTTAAATGGTTTATTTCCTGAAATTCTTCTTTGAGTCTTTATCGTTTTAAAAAATCACCATCATGAAATGTTGCATTCCTAGTGCCAGAAATCGTATTTTTAGCAGATTTGGAGGAAAAAAAACTGAAAATTTCTGTCCATTCAATGGTTGTAGGACGTTTTCCTTAACTTTCAGTCATTATACCATTACAATGAATTTTTATCTTAATTATTTTTCAGTTTACAAATGCTCAAAATAATTATAAACTTCTTGAAATATGAGCTGTTTAAGGACATTTAGATCAGTCATCAAAATTTCACTGGCATTCCGCTGGATATTTGATGATATCCCAAATGCCCTTTCATTTTGATGTTGCTATCCTTTGAAAAATGATCGTTTCATTCCACAAAAAGTTATTAAATGATAACCATTTAAGCAAGTCTTTTAACAGAAAATTCATAATAGTATTTTCCTCATTGCAAACGAAGAACTAATTTCTAATCGCGTAGGCTTTCTTGGAGCAGGTAAGAAATAAAACATTACAACATGTTCCAACTTCGGTTTTAGAAGAATGTTATACTTATCAGATATTCAATAGAATAAATAAATATTTATTTACACTATTAAATTTTGTCATTTTTAAAGAACGTCAAAGCAGAACTGTATGGAAAGTAGATGATACAGTGAATACAAAATGCGTATGAAAAATAATAATCTTAACTATAAATGATATAATAATTCAATTTTGAAATAATAAATATTATCAATATTGGAATAAATATCCATTTTAAAGCCTGTGAAGAAAGTTTTGGAAACATTACATAGTTTTAATTGGGGAACAGCAGAAAATTTTTCACCTAAATGTGACATACACATTTACGGCTTTCATAACCAATTAAACTTTCACTTTAATTTCACAAGCACCACATTATAAATACAATACATACATATATACTACATACGTAACATAAGTCTACGTAACGTATAGATTTGCATATGCTATACAAAATACAATAAATGCAATAGGAAACACGAATTTAGATACCGTATCGATCAAATGAGGTGAATTCTGAAACCTATGGCAATGTTTATTAATCCAAGCACTTTTTCCAGATTTTCTTTCGCTGTTACCGGTGCCAATATTTGTGATCTGCAGAAAAACACGCAAAATAAGCAAGGAAACAAAAGCACAAACACTAAATAACTAAATAAACTAAAATAAAATTTCTGAATGTTGCGATCTTGTTTATTACTAGATTTTTGAGCATTCAAATACTTGCTCAGGAAACAGTAAAAATTTTTATAACATTTTTACCTTGTCTGAATCGCATTTGACAGTTTTATCTGAAAGAATAAACGCATGCCAGCGTTTAGAATGACATAGACCTGAAATCAGCAATTTACTGCACAATACTTGAAAATTTACAATTGTATACAAACCGTGCCTATAAAAATCCATATACGGCTTTTATTTTTGGGACCTTGGGCATAGACGTATACTTCTACTTCCAAAGTGCTTTGAATTAGAAAAATATTCGTGTTATGGCATTTTTAAATTACAAAAAATCCATTTTGGAGAAAACTACCAAAGTTAACTTTTGCTTACAGCCTACAGCTATATTACTTACAGCTCCCTGTAGTTATTTTAGTTTAAGTTCGTATTCCTTCTAAATATAAAACCCAAAACATGTGACTCCTGCACGACAAAAATTGACTAAGATGTTTAATTTTTAATTTTAAAATCAAATTGAGGCGTAGTATACAAACTGAATAGTGAAATGTTTAAATTTTTATGCGATTAAAAATGAAATATCTGCTTAGAAAAATGTTTCTTATGCTAACAGATTCGATGGTGAGCAGTGCTGGACAGACTGTTGAATGCTTTGACCAATACGGGATTTCCATTATAAGACCAATACAGGACCAATTGCTTTTACCAATACAGGATTTTATTCCCGAGGAAGATGATTTTATTCGCAGAATCTTATAATTTCATCATCTAGAAAACAATATAAGCCTTCAGCATATCGAAAATTTACAACATTATTCCCATAAATTAAAATGAAGAATATTTCTAGTCTAATGAATCTTTTTTTCTTTTTTTGTATGACTATTAGATCATGATTCTAGTACTTAAAACTTCAAAACTTATAAAATATTTAAACTAGTTTCATGAAAATGCGTTCGGTGTATATGTTATAAGATTGCAAATTAAAGAATTTTACGCATATGTAAGTTCCAGAGGAATATCACTGAATAACGTCAACGTAAAATAGATCTTGAATTATTCTATTTTATAAGTCGCAACTCAAAGAAACGGCACAAAAAAAAAAAAAAAAAAAAAAAAAAAAAAAAAAAAAAAATGCAGCAGTCCCAAATTTTGAAATTAAATGTCTCGGTAAATTGTCATACGGAAGTCAAACTTTCTATTTATAACTTTATAATGAGAATAAACTCTTGCTAAATGTAACTATAATTACCGGGGAACCGAATAAGTTAGATCTGGTAATTTTTTACATATTTCACTTTTTTAAAATTATAGATGCTAAAACATTAAAATTTTGTCATTTAAAACCTTTTGCAGTTGGTAGTATATGTCTACAATCAATGACTGCAAAAATAAAGACTACACAAAGGAATTTTACGAACACTGTGTATATATCAATAGTATACAGCGCGGTCGTAAACTATTTAAAAAAATAAGAGGAGCCTACCAGGAAGAATATTATTTACAATGGAAACTAAGCCTCATTCTACTCAAATTGTAAGGAAAAGGGAAAGCTAAATGTACAACTGTCAGCTGTGAAACAAAAGAGAATTAACGAATCCTAAACTGTATAATCTCACTCAGATCAAAGAAATACTCAAAGTAGACGTTTAAAATGGGGTCCTAAGAGTGCCGCTGTGCAATTTCTGTTGGCGAATGAAAGATTGGAGCATCTTCTCGTAGATTCTTGGTGTCACGTTTTATCTCATCCATTGCAACAACGACCTTTACAATGGAAGCTTCCACAAATTTCACAAGGTGTTTTGTACACTTCGGGTGCCCCTAGAAGAAGTATATCCAATGAGCATAGAGGCTTAGGTCTATCACGACCAATCCCCCGCCTGAATAAATGACATTCAAGAAGTGTCTACAGAGGTATGCGAAAACTACATGTCCCTCTATGCCGATGGAATAGCCTGAAACAAATCAGGCAGCACTAATTGCAGGAAGACACGGTACATTGTGCTAGTTAAACATTTTAACAACAAGTAAAACTCATCGAGCAATACCAAGAGTATTTGTTTAAGATGCTCACGACAAAAATATGCTGGTGTTTACCAAGACTTGTAAAATGAGAACTGCTTTCAGCTCAGACGTGTTCGTTGCGAGTGTTGAAGATGTTTTCCGAGGTAAATGAAGCTTCATCAATGAATCATACTAAGACAGAAAACTGTAGATTGGTAGTTGTCATCTGAAACATTCACCACTCAAACTCTAACCAGGAGGGATAGTAATCTTTGTTTAGACATATTCTGCACGTAGAAGAACAGCATTCGTTCATGTAAAACATTCCCCACGTATTGCGATAAATATCATTGTCGGGTGCCATCGCTCACGCATATACGAAGGAATTGCAGGAAATCTTTGCAAGATATACTCTTCCGTTTACAGCGTTCGCACACCTCTCTTACGTCCCTAGCTTTCTTTGAGACAGTGATAAGCCACACAGTGTTCTATGCCGAAGTGTGGAATATGACTCATCAGAAATTGCTCATTGTCTAACATATGGGAATGCTTCAAAATATGCAAGATAATGCAGAAACTGGAGGAATGGGAACAGATTTTTGCAGTATGGAATAGTTCCCTGTCAATCTCTCTTCTCTCTTTTTTTTTTAACTGTATATATTATGAAACATGTATGTATTATGGCCAATGAAAATTATTATGAACTATGTATGTAATACATAACAGGCTCAATATATTATGAACTATGTAAGCATGTATATGTATGAACTGTAAGCACGTATTATGAAACATCTATGTATTATGAACTACTTGTATATAAGCATGTACTATGAACTATGTAACTATGTAAGTATATATTATGAACTATGTAACTATAAGCCTATATTATGAACTATGTAAGCATGTATACAAGATCAATGTATGCCCTTATAGGGCCCATGAGGTGCTGCCTCGGATAGTTGCGGAACCTGGACTAGACCCGAATAGTCTAAGTAAGCCGCACGGGTGTCCTGATTCTGCTCTCAACTGTCAACTGTCAACTGTGCTTCGAGTTTGTTTGACCGTACATTAGATCCATATCTGCCAGTTTGTTCCTCGTACGTGTAATTTGCCATGGCCTTCGCCAAGTCTTTTCGGATGACAGTATCGTGCTTCTGATCTGAAGCACTAAGAATGTGATACTTTGTCAAGAACATTTGCTTCGGCTGGCTGTCAAATGTCAAGAACATTTGCTTCGGCTGGCTTGCTATTGAACTTTGGCAAGCCAATTAGCTGGAACTATCAATATTGTTTCTGTTTACTGAAAATATGCATATGACACATTCTTGAGGGTAGTATTCTGAAGATGAGTTAATTTTGTTGAACGATGACTGAAATGATGTTAGAAATGAGGATCTGAACTCGTTGAACATGATTCGAATTTACTTTGTCCCGACACATTGAAAGGGAAAGGGACCCTAGGTTCTATTATAAATATTGTTTATATTGATGGCTACTATCACGTGTATTATTTTGTTGAACCTGTTTGTGAACTTTCTGCATCTGTTGGGTCCCAATTTAAGCCTTTGTGAGTTCAAAATCTGTCAACAGGTCTTAATTTGAAACAATAACTTAGTTTAAAATTTCTTTTCTAAATTTTAGTTAATTCAGTGGCAATACTCTCATATTGACAAATATTAAATTTTTTGACATTTACTTACTCATTTTTACAACAGCTTTTATAATTAGCTATTGGATATCCGATGCTCAAGTAATTCTGAAATTTTACTTCTATTTTCAAAATTATACATTTTATATAATCTTGTTTTTCAGTTAGACAATTTCGTCTGTAGCCTCGCGAATTCAAGAATTTGTAATTTAGTGGAAGTTTAATTAAACCTTAATATTAAGAACGAAAGTTTATGATCAAAAACAAACATAAACACGGAATTCCTTTCAAATTAAAGCTAATATACTTCTTCTTTAATATTTAAGTCACTATTAACTTAATAAGAATGCTAATACATTCAGCAGTACCCTCGCTCATGAATAAAGAAATTCTTTGTAAACGGTGACCTACTCGTTCCCTGAAAACGATAGGTATATTGGCAGTCAGAACTGTTTAGGCATCCGATTTAAAACTGTCAAAGGAAGGACAGGCCGTAAATTTTAATTATAGCCTAACTTAAGTTTTCAGTTATGCTAGTCATTCTGCTATATAATAACTAACGGATTGATTACAACACGGCAAGCGTGAGCTACATGGATGAAAAGGGATACATTTTTGAAAGATTTTGTAAGGAATACTGATTTGTGTTCACATTACATGTGAGAAAATGAAGGAAATCCAAAGCAGGTAGTTCCATCAGCGGAAACCAAGCCCAGGTCAAGCTACAGAGTTCAGCTAAAGGTAATGATAGTAAAATTTCTCAAGTTCTACCCTTATAATATTGTATACTTATATAAGTCATTAGTATTTTTTTTTGAAGCAGGAGACGTGAAAAACGTTCAGTGCTCTCGCTAGGACTCAAACCCTGTACATCTCGAGTAAGAGTGGATTATGCTCACAGTTGCACCACGAAGGCATGCGGAAAGAAGCGAGAAAATACCTTATATCTTTTTGATTTTGTACAGTCCATATTTAGGGTAACGAACTCAAAGATTGGGTAGTAAGTTGCAGAGGAAATTTGAATTACACCTCAAATGGTCACTCTGATTTTCCAGTCGTAAGACGAAAAGGCTTATTCTACTTCTGACTCATAAATAAAGCAATAATAGCTTCATGGATAGAAGAAACGGGCCTCCCTCAAAATGATATGTCATTACAAGGGTTTCGATGCCCTCATGCATGCCAGTGAGGGTTCGTCTGGACATGAAACATTTGCAAGGGTGCCCAACATAAAGCTGTTGGCCAGCACTATTATGACGAAGTATCCTTATACAGCAATCCCGAAAAGAGCTTATTTTAATTGAGTAAAAGTATTTTCTATAAACATTTGGCCACTTTCAAAGACTTTTTAAATAGTTGATTTATTAATCAATTGTAAAAATTGTTCATTATACCTGCTTCTTAATTCTATGTAATTAATCTACACTTGATTGTACATTAATTACTTACATTAATCACTTTTCGCACCAGGAGCATTGTATTTACTGCTTTTAGAATCCTGCCTGAATCTCTCGAAATTTCTGTCTGTTCAGTGTGATTTGTAAGGTGCGCATGTCGGAGTAGCAAGGATTTAAATTTTAAAAACAAAAATATATCCTATGCGTTAAGGTGAGAAGCCCCCCAGACAAAGTGAGCTCGCATTTATTCAAGTGAAATACTCCCATTCCATAATTCCTATACTGGGTCCGGAATTTTAGTGGTGTAAGGGGACTGCATTGAGGACAATGACTCAACCATACGCAAACACAGCGTGATACGTAATTTCAAACATAGTCACAGTTATGATCAATAACAGATTCATAGCTATACTTTGTTGAGTAGTACGACTGATTATGCTGCTTAGAAAACATTTTCACAATCTAAATGATTAAATAGGTGCATTAAAATCTAATAAAAACTGTACTAACTAAAAATTCTAAAAAAAAAAAAAAAAAAAAAAAAAAACTACATACTTCTTTCCCAGCAGATCCTTCAGTTTGATCGTCAGTGATGGATTTCGCTTCATTTTCTTTCCTCTTTAATAATGTAAGGACAAGTGCGTACTCTAGGAGGCTACAGAAGACAAATGCAACGCAAGAAGATAACCAGATATTCAAAGCCACTATGTAAGACACACTAGGCATTGTGGATTGATATTGCTTGGTGATAATTGTTAACAAAGAAGTCACTCCAAGAGATACTCGAGCTGGTGCTGATTCAGGAGGAATCCAGAATATGAGCATCGACATGAAAACTATGAGGACCGTAGGAATGTACGTGTTGATGATGAAGTAGCCAATCCGGCGGTTCAGCAGAAAAGTTGCATTAATGCAGCTGTATGTTTCTAAAAGCAAATAATTGATGTGTTAGTGACCTAAATATATATATAGGTGTTCTATTCAAAGAAGCAATTATTTTATAAGTGAATAAACTGGTAAATAAAAATTGTTGACTGGTGTCGAGTAATTCTACTTTTTAGTTGGTGACTGATATCAGTACGTTTAAATAATAAATTAAGGTTATGTTAACATGACAAAGCACTTAAGGGCTATCTGCCTTATAATAGGGATTGCTTCTTAGAGAATTACATTAGGGAGATAGAATGATAAAATCTGCATGCATTTTAAAATGCTTTTAACTATAATGCCTTAGTATTAATAATGCACAGTAAATTAATTTTCCACTTCCCACTTAATCAAAAATATATTCGGTAAGTTTGATTAAAACATCATTTTCACAATAATTTGAGTCGAATCAAGGCATCAAAATCGCTATATTTTTTACAGTAATCTAGTATTCTCTGACTGCAAACAAAGACTAAGCATTATTCACTGAATTCAATAATTCATATATACTATAACACCAGAAAATATTTAACGCATAATAAATCAGTCACTATTTCTCTAATATTAAATTATGAGACAAGAACTTAATAAATTTATAGGCACCATCTTTACGTGCTAACCATTATTAATCAAAGTAACTTGAACAAGTTCATAATCTAGAAGTTCCAGGAATTCCGAACAGAATTAAACATGAGTCAACTAAACAGATCATAAAAATTCACTTATAAAATTTACCTCTAAACAGCACGTTTATTATGTATAATCTGAATTAAGCAATTTTAGATAACTGTATGGACTATACTTATAAAATTTTAATCATGCATTAAATTAATACCAATAAAATTATAGTTCAGTTATAATCCTCTTTTAATATTTATTGTTTTGCAATCGATAAAAATCAAAGATTAGTTTTCTACCCTTATGACGCTTACGATTGCAATCAGATATTAATTTAAGTACTACTGATAAAATTAATTTAGTTTTATCTTTAATCATTCGAAGAAATAGACTGTCCTTAACAATGGAAAATCTAGTGACTTAAAATCAGTATTACATACTTAAACGTACTCCTCCCCGAAAAAAGGTCAAACTAAAATCAAACAGTAATAGATAAAATTCATTCAGTGAAGTTCAAGATTTTCGAGCAAATCTCTGTTAGGCCGACACATTTTAGAAGCATAGTTCATAATCATCACTTAAGAAGTAAGAAAAATTCAGAGTACACCTCCCTAGTACCAGTACAGGACCATCGACAGTTCGACGAGTTCCAGTATATGTCCGTGAGTCTGGCTGTTTTAGAAATCAGCCACAGGAATGATCTCTGGAAAAGTTAGCAGAAAATCGGCGACTAAAATCTATTGCCATTTTGACCTCTAGAGAATAATAAATAAAACAGCTATTGTATCTCAGATGTTTCAAACCCCATCTCAGCATCCAGTGCTGCCTTTGCTCTCCCAAACAGCATCCAGTGTTGCGTTGCTCTCCAAAATGATCGAAATGTAAAAATTTCGGCTGCTTCAAAAAACTAATCAGAATGATAAAGAGTCCGACACAACCATTTTTTTTCTGGAATCTCTTTCCTTTTAGAGGGATGGCAAAGCAGACGTTGTCAGGCTGTTAAAGAGACCATTCGGCATGCGATTCCTTACAAGAGGCAGAGAACTTTCCGCAAGATCTTTTTTCTCTGTCCTTTGTTACATTTTAGACGTTATTTTGCAGGAGCAAAATCTCATTCTACCTTTTGTATCGAAATCATTCTTTTTCTACAAGAAAATCTAACCCCTTCTTCCTTTACAAGCGTCGAAATCACAATTATTTCTATAAGTGAAACCGTCTCAAGCTCAACAGTTCTTTTGCTCTGAAAATTAAAATTTAACTGCAGCCAATCCGCAAAACAAATTTCCAAACATTCTCTCGAAAAGAAATTTAATTTCGAAAGAAAAATGTTTGTCTTTTTCTGTTCAAAACTAAAGGAAATTAAACACATTTACTCATAAATTAAACACCTTTCCTTTACGTAAGGACCAACCTTCTAGTTTTAATTGCCTGAAAAGGGTAAAAAGCTTGTACCAGATCTTTCTCACGGTTAACAGCTAAAGACCTTCCTTGTAAATTTCCGCTCACCAATCCTATGCCTTCAACTTTCAGAGTTTATCAGTTGTAGTTTATGCCGTGTGGCAGCGAGCCAATGTATCAGCAACCCATGACCGAATAGTTTTTTCGGCTGAGAAATCTAGAGAATATGCTAGTCAGGGAAACAGCCGAGCACTCTATGTATTGAGGAAGGTCAGGATAGCACAGGCAACAGGTGGTCATACAGTATCTTATTTATAGGATACTGCCACGGGTCTTACGATTTCAGACACGTCAGACATGTAATGGGGGTATATATTGTACATATAACCGGCTGTACAAATAAGAAATGAACCAACGGTATTTCATAACAGCACGCCAGGTGCTAGGTCCGTATGAAAATTACTAGTATAAGCTGCCAACTTTTGTTCTGCTCGGTACCTCCACACACGGATACGTCCATGATGCTGCTGCAAACAGAACCGAGGTTCATCTGAAAAGAGGACTTTGTCCCATTCCTGTGCCCGTTGTCGTTCGGTGTACCACTTTCGGTGCACCACAAGAATGGCGTTAGTACTGACAGTCCGTAATACTGGTGACGTCGTCTCACTGTCCGTGTGGATACTTGTCGTCTTTTGCATACCAGGCAGATTCTGATTTACTACATATGATGTGCCTGAACGATCTCGCAAGGCCGAGAGGACTGCGCGTCTGTCCTCTCTGGCATTAGTGGCCGTGGACCATTGAGATCCTGCATGGAGTTGAATATGGTATAGGATCCGTCGTTTTTATATTCTCCTGGCAGTTATAGGATCTCGACCAACATAGCTAGTAATGTCACGGAACGATAAACTGCAGTCCCGATAGGCCAGGATACTGCCGCGTTCGAATGCCGACACGTGCTGGTAGGGGTTTCTTCTTACTTGAGGTTATATCACTACCTTTACACAAACAAGCAACATTCAGATGCCATTTCTAAATGAGAAATCCGTTGTGCTTTCTTCCCATTTATACACAATGCAGACGGTGTTACTTATACCTACTTTGTGAACATGCGCTGGATTGCTAATCATTTTCATATCCCAGGAAGTAGTAATTTTCATGCAAATGTAACATCTGTAATATGCCACTTTCATAGTGTAGCAATTTTAATGTCCATCAATGCATATTTCACATGAAACATGCCACCTCCAAAAAGAGCCACCCGGGGCAGATAACCTCCACACACTCTTAGTACGCCATTGCCTGGGATAGATTTCAAATTATTAATTAATTATAGCTATGCTGGTATTTCAATAATATAAGGGCAAGACTTTCAACCAAAATAATCGCAACTGATTTATTAGGACCACATCCTAGAAGCGTATAAATAAAAATGATAAAAACTGATCTTTGCTAGTAATAGTAGAAAGGTATTTAAAATAGTTGAAAATATATCCATTACTACAAGAATCATCGAAAGCTGTCACAGATTCATTATTATCAATGTTACTTTAGGAAAAGGTGTTCAAGATTTATTGTGGCTCAAATTAGTAATTGGTGAAGTCATTAATGTTAACATCATCACAATGTTTGAAGATAATAAATCATGTGCCAAGCGTATATTTAATGAGAATAATTCAAATAGGTTGAAACACATAGATATCAACTTAAATTTACTCATCAGAATGTGAAAGCACATAATATCAAAAGTAATTTGATTTGTTCTAATAATATTAATTGCTGACTTGTTAACTAAATTTTTACCCAAGAATAAATTGAACGAACGTTTACTTTTATACTGTTTAAAGTTATCTTAATCTTGTTTTGAATGTGGGATTAAGGGCGAGTGTTGTTGATGTAATCCTAGACCTCATATTTTTATATTACAGTACAATTGTTTTTTAGAGTATTATGTAAAACATCTACAGCTCATCTTTAAATTCGCAAAACTTTACCAAGACAGAATAGTGATTCGAAGAACTAGGCGTATAATAAGTAAGGATGCACTTAATCCAGCGCAGACCAAAACGAGATGCAGCAGATAATCTTAGTAGCAGTAATTAGTGTTGGCTGTTTTTACTGCTCCAAATATTTTCATGTTTGTTTTGTATCTTTTCCTTTGGATATTTAAAATAAAGCTTTATTTTAAGTCCAACAGAAACCTCTGAGTAAGTTATCCCTTAGCAATATTAAATTGAATAGCTTCTTATTTATACCTCGACAATCTACGCCATTAGCCACTAACTAGTGTCAAAATTGCACGGACAATACAATTTTACAATAAATAAATTTTTACATCGAAGTTATTTACAGCAAAGTTTTGCATTTAGATAAATTTGAAATAATTTACCTTCGTACATATATGTGTCACAACGGCCGAGTGACACGTCACCAACTTCAAACTGTGGAAGAGTCAAAATACTACTTATTCGAACTGCTCGTGATTCATTCCAGTTCAGCTTAAGGTCAGTCGACGGATCCATCACTTAAGGGGAAAAATTGTAAATATATAATAATTAACATTTTCATATTTATATTTGATGTAACACAGAAAGAGAATATATTCTAGAATGCAGATATCTAAATTTGTCATAATATTAAAGGAACTAATATTAAATTTGCCATAATACTAAATGGAAATGGAGGACATAATCTTGTGGCATACTGTTATATGTATTAAATATATTCAAGGGATTGCTCTTTTACTGTTCAAAGGTGTGCTTAAATGACTTTATTATTCTAACGTTACTAAGCTCTCTTCTATGCTAGAAACTAAAATATAACACCTTCCTTTTGTTGATAATAGTTAACATTTTCATCAAGACAAAAGATGTGAATGAAGAAAATGCCAGAAATTGACAAGTTACGAAATGTTTACTTACAAGATATGATGGAAATACCACAAAACTGGCTGTCATGAGGATATTTTTCCATGCGCATATCACAGCTTAGTTCAAGCGTCACTCTAAGAAAAAGATTAAACGGATTTTTTATTCACACGTTATTTAATGAAATTCCTTTTTATCAATCGTGCATGATAATATGGGTTTCTTTCCAAAATTTATATATATTTTATAATGAGTTAGTTCCAAAGAGGTTTTGTTACCTTAAATATTGATACTAGACGCGTACTAAAAATTTACAGATACTAGTTTTGTTAAGAAAAATTACAATTCTTACGACAAATAAGATATATTTATCGCTAATTGTTCAACTGCTAACGCTTGCGCGAAGTACTTATTAGTGCTTGAAATATGTTAACCCTGGAACCGAAGCTGAAACAAGAAATTTCGTCTTATGGTTGTAAAATATCTTATATTAACTAACCAGCTGCTGTTTTCTTTCCTTTATTACAACGTCTTCCTTCCGCCTTCCTTTTCACAATGCGGATTAGTTTTAACTGTATTTAAGTTGAGGGTTTTGAATCTTAGGAAAAGTATTGTACTCCTTGGTAATTACTCTGGACTGCCTCTCAACAAAATAAAAAGGATATATCTGTGCATTATAAGGCATATTCTACGCTAAGTAACTGCAGTCTGGGCATCAGCCTCAAAGGCACACTTCCACAAACTTCAGGTAGTACAGAATAAGATTCTGAGAAGAATTGTAAATGCTGTTTACCTGACTACAAACAAACAGATCCATGACGACTTGAAAAGTGACGTTATATTGGACCACATTGTGGTGTTTTTATTTTATTTTCCTAACAGTTAATTTTATTGCGGAAACAGCATTTCCTTTACACCCTCATTTTCTTAAGCAAGCTTTCTTGCCAGAATGAGTTTTCAGTTTCACGCTTTATGCAAAGTAATGTAGTAAGGTTTATCCTAAGTTTTTAACAGTTATCTTTAGTTAAAGCTACTTTCCTGTCCATCCTAATTTCAGCTTACAACTTCCTACCAGAATGTATTTTTGGAAAACGAGTAAGAGCGGTATTTAAGTCGAAGTTCCGCTGACTTCGTTAGAGAGCCAGAGTTTCGGACTAGCGCGCATTCGCCTTTTGACTATACTCTCTCTAAGCTATTTCTACTCTCGGTCGTATCTCAGGCCCTTGATAGCTTCGCCAGCTTAGTTGATAATTTAGGGGCCAACTGCTTAAAAATCTCGGCTATATCTATTTATTAAAGCTTAGTTAAGTTTTATTTCTGATTACTTTAAGTTCAAGTCCAAGTGGAGGTCTTGCTGTACGCTCTGAGAATGGGCCATCTGTTAAATTCTTATTTTAAGAAATAAAGGGTAATTAACCGTTCTTGAGTTTTCGTCTCTGTTCATGAACTAAAGCGATTATTCGTTTAACTGTTCACGAGGTTCGTACACATTTAGCTGTTAGATAAAAGGGTGGAACCCCACAAGGTAGAAATTACTATTTAAGCTGAGGTCTGAGTTACTTAAGAGACAGCGTGTTCTGCCTTTCGGCGACGTTGTTGCTACTAGTTAAAGGTTGTTATTTACGGCCGTGCATACTAATTGCCTGTTAATCTAGTCGGTGATATTCTCCGAAGAGCCAACGTCGTGTTCAATACCTTTGTGCAGCTTCGGCTGATTATTCAACTTAGAATTAGTTTAGTTTTATATTTACTATTTTTAAGTTAAAGCCATAAGTGCTAGCTATTCGTCCGCTCAAGTGGGGCCATCACTGAATATATTTGAGTTAAAATAGAAGGGTATTTTAACCCTTCTTCTGTTGTTCTTACTGACACAATAGAACTCAGTGAATAGTCGCTTTACAGTTCAAGTAGATTCTAGCAGTTATGCAACTTTAATTTAGCTAGAATACTATAACATTACTAAATAAAAGTTTCTTCAAAACTTGATTTAACTGTGATCCTGAAAATTTTTCAGAAGTTCTTAGTTACCAAATCTTTCCAAAAGATTATTTGATCAGAATATTTGCTACTCAGATGCTTAGAGATCACTACTTCATAACCCAGGTTTGACTGCTAAAGCTTACTTGTTTTATTCGCTGCGTGCCTATTGTCTCTCACTGCTTTCCATTAGATTGGCTCATATGCACTAAAGGAGATAATAGTCTCTCCACTTTTACCTCACTTTCCTGACCGTCGTTTTAATTTCACCTGCTAGCTCATCAAAGTCATATGCCCTCAGTGGCTTAATTTTCTTATCTAGCTTATTAGTCAGTGTTTTCCCCTCCATCTCTTTTTAAAAGTCATATTCCGGCTTTGCCATCTCGCTAACCGATGCTTTAACTATAAGGTATTTCTCCCACCTTCTTGACATGCCTTCGTGGTGTGGTGGCCTGCATGCTGGGTGCGTATTCCAGAGGTCCGCGGTTCGATTCCCGGCGAAGGTGTTGCTAATTTTTCATCTCCCTTGCTCCAAAAAAATCATAGGATCTCTACATATCTTACTCTGATAAAATAAATAAACCGGCTTATTTCTTTTTATACTGAATGTTAGCCTTAGACTATGTTACCCATTTTTGAATGAATTATCTGTTATTGCTTAGTTTAAATAACTACAAGTAGTGGTTTGTCAGTAGCACAAGTCGTGCCCTTGAGTTAAGATTAAATAGAAAGGTTATTTTAAAATTTCTTTAATACTTTCTGATTATTTAAGATGTAGAGATTTATCTCTATTTTGTCTAGTAAGATCCACAGGACTTTATTCTTAATTCCAGTTATCAATAGCAACCCTATATGGTGATTAAATGCTGAGATATTTTTGTGGTTACGTAAATGAGAAGTGTTAACAAAAGATTAATTGGAATTGGAGGATACGTATTTAATTATTTTTTTCTCTAATCAAATGGAAAAAAATAAAGTTCTAGTTTGACAACAACTCATTTGGGGATGCCTGACTCTTAACTCTTGGATCATTAAGGGTCCACTGATAGCAGTTAAAGAACTTCTGAATTTAATCCAAAAATTCCATTACTTTGATTGCAGAACTCGCAGGAATTCGTGAAGGAACACGTGAAGGAATTCGCTGACACAAATTTCCAGTACCCATTATTGATCGAAATTTCTAATTTAGCTGGCTCTATAAAACCTTTAATTTCCCATAACTCTGTGAAATTTGGATGAAAATTTAGGCAAGAATTTGTATTTAAGGTTATGAGGAATATTTCAATATAATTTTTGCTCAATGAAAATCTTATAAAAATTATTTTTTCATTTTACACAATCCTCTAACCCACAAGGCTGAAAATGCTTTCTTAAAATTTTCTACTTCATTTTGAAAAACTCTGAAGTACACATACAATATTAATATTTATATAAATAAAGCCTGTAGTAATCATTTTCGAATACGTAAAAGCATCGCTTTTTAAAAAATAACTTTTTCGAGAACTATATAAAAAATTAGTTTTCACTTACTTGTTTACAACATTAATTTCTATGTAGCGTCAAGAGCGAATAACGTGTACTACTAGGCAATCAATATATCTGTATAAAAGGATTTGAATTCTTGAAGTTGTTGAAGATTTACCAAATATGAATTAAACTAATATATAATTTTGAAAAGGCAAATAAAAGGAATGATTTTTACCTTCCAGCGAAATGCAGAGTTTTATCTTTTTCTATCCAATACAGTACACTGCGTGTAACCCATTTTTGCAGTGTTATCTCCAAAGCATTTTTGAACCATATATCCGGTGTCCATATGTCATTTCTCCATACTGGATCAAGCACGACTTTGGACCGATTTCCTGCTATATCTTCAGGAAACATTAACCGACCATCCTTCCATTGTTCCCTAATTATTATGTCCATTTTGAAATCCTGGAAAAAGGCGAGTTTTTAAAAAAAGTTAATGCATAGTAGGGTTATTATATTTTAACTAAAACTATTAGAAAGCTAACGGGTGTGTGCTTCATCTTTGAAACATTCTATTACACACTTAGTTTTACTAATCCAATATATGAATTCTGTTATAAATTTTAACAATTGCTATTTATATATGGTTATAACTTTGAGTTATTTTAGTGTTCAAATATTACATTAGCTTTAATTTCTGAAGGAGCTTCAGAAAGCTTCGCAAGCACCCGACGGCAAGAATTTCCTGAGCGCCCCTGACTAAATGGCGAAAAGATAGCTTACAGTGCAGTCGCAGGCAGGCAGACAGACAGAAAAAAGTACCAAAACATCGCCATGGGCAAAACTGGTATAGCCCACTGCACTAACCATCTATGGAAGTGTACAATCACGGGGCATACGGTGTCTCACAAAAAGCGCAGAATTTTTTTTTTCTTTTGAGTACGGCGATGCACACAATGGTAATTTGCCAAAGAGAAGGATGCCGCCTGGAGAACTTTTAAGAGAAAGTGGCTGGTAGCCACATTACGCATGCAGAAAATACAAAAGGGCCCTTGCAACCAGTCTGTTTGGCGGGAGTCGAGATCCTGACCGAACTGCCAGTGTTCAGCGACTTTACCGCTCTGCCGCTGGCGGGACGTAGGGTATAAATTGTGTAGATATTTATTTAATATTATCAATACCGTACTTATGAGTTTCATTACCTACTATAAACTCCAATAAATTGAACCTTTCTTGCTTTGACGTTTAAATGCCAAAAAACGATTCACAAAGGAGTAACGCGTCTTTACACGTCTGAAAACTTTTTACAAAAACAGGATGTGCGTTTCGTAAATTATGCCACATCTCTGGACTTGCCTGATCTGCACAAAATAAATACCAAGAATACCATTCAGTCAGGACTACCTGCCACATATTTCAAGAGTCAACAACATTGTTTCATGAAAGTTTTCTGGGTTGTATCTTATTTCATGGCGGTGACCAGTAATGGCCTGCGAGTTTTGTGTCTTCATACTTTGCATTACGTATCTTTTTATTGAGATATGTCAAGTCAAATGTTTATATAAAGAAACCTCAAATAGTTCCCGAACTAAAGAAAGAAATTCAACGGGACAGTTCGTAAAATAAACAAGGAGGTTGTGAAAGACTACTTACTTTGAGACTACCAATTACTCTGAGAATGCTTCTTACCATAGTACGAAAAAGAAAAATGACAGTGCGACATTATGGTGCCAAGTCAGCATACTTAAATGGAGATTTATCGCATAATATATTCATGAAGCAACTTCCGGGATTTGAGGAAGGCGATAAAGTTTATAAGCCTTCAAGCAAGTGGCAAATGAATGGAATAAAAAACTTAATTTTTTATGTAGAAGATTTCAACGAAATTAAAATGACTCTTTTTTTATATACAAGATAAAGAAAGATTTGTATATTTTATCGTATATGTGGATGATATGGTAGTTGCAGTTAGTAGAATTAGAATTCCTCTGTATACAGTTAGCAGTATACAGAGGAATTACTTAAAAATTTAAAAAGTGAACATTTCACAATGGAAAATGCAGAAAATATTCATTACTATTTAGGCATACGTTTTCATCGTGACAGCGAGGAAATCTCCTACATTGACCAATCAAGCTATATTCCGAGAAAGCTGAAACAGTATCATATGAATGATTGTAAAAATCTACGTTTCTTTATTGATTCAGGATATTATAAGCAAAAGAAAGTTTCAAAAGCTAACAATAAAGTAGAGGAATACAAAAGTGCAATAAAATCATTACTGTACCTGGCAGCCAATACCAGACTAGATAAAGCAGTTTCTGTTTCAATCTTAACCCTAGAATACTAACCTGAGTAAATTTTATTCACGGAACAGAGAAATGCGCGCGCAACTTCTAAACCGTGCGCATTAGCGCCACTTTCACTCAGATATGCTATCTACGTTCTTTTTTCTGTAAGACGTAGTTATAATTGAATGTGAGATATTAGAAAAAATCAGGAAATTTAATCCTACTTTTATATGGTGATTAAAATTTACTCATAGTTTTAAGAGAATGTTTTTTGTAAGTAATATTTACTTATGGTTAGCATAAACAGACTATTTGTATACGTAATATTTACTCATGGTTAGTCTTAACAGACTAATTTTTTATATGATATTTGTTTGAATTTAGCAGTGGGAGGAATTTTTTAATTAAACTTTATTATAATTAATGTCATTTAATTCTAAATAACAAGTATTATAAATATCTATGTATTTTTAGTTCTATTTTCCCATTTTTAGTAAAAGATGTCTAGAAAGCTAGGATTAGATATAGAAGAAGCATTAAAAATTATTTTTTAAGACGTTTCGGAATTATCTTCAGCTGAACAAGATTATATTGGAATTAGAATCTGATGACTCTTTTGACGAGCCACTTTATTTGCGTCCCCCCCCCCCAAAAAAAAAAAAAAAAAAGAGAGAGAAACGCAGTTTTTAGAAGTTGATATGATTCAAGAAGTAACCAACAATAAGTGAAACTAAGAAGAAAGTGAAACTAAGAAGGGCAATAAAAACATATGCATTCGATCTTCATATGATGACTCAAACTTAATTATACAAAAGTATCTGCATTAATTACAATAAATGGCTCAGAAGTAGCCGGTAGATAAGAATTTTAAATGGAAAACAACCAGAGTAAGTGGAAATACAAAAATTCCCGGCAAGAAATATTATCCATGTTCAACCTGGTGCTACCTCAATTGCTCGTTCTTCTTATCAACCAATAGACTACTTTCAGCTATTTTTCTATAACGACATTTTAAACATTATTTCGAAATATACAAATGAAGAGATTGAAAGCAACATTTTAAAAATAAGTTACAAAATAAATCTACATTATCTTCTGTTTCGCTGATTGAGCTAAAGGCATTTTTTGGTTTAATAATTTTAGAAGCTTCATTGCAGAATAATTATTTGTCATCCGACTTATTATTCGATAATTCTTATTGCGGTGATAGATACTTAGCAACAATGTCCAAAGAACGATTCAATGTTTTGGTAAATTCTCTGAGATTTTATTGTAAAGAGAAACTGATTGTAAAGAGAAAAAGAGAACTGCAAACTCAATGTAAATTTGCTTCCTATTTCTATCGTTTGGGAAAACTTTTTGACGAATGGCCGAAAAAATTACAAACCTGGAGCATATGTAACAATAGACGAACAACTCGTTGGATTTATAGGAAACTGTCCATTTAAAATGTATATCCCTTCCAAACCAGATAAATATGGAATTAAAGTAGTGATGATGATGTGTGATAATACTACAAATTATATGATTGATGCAATTCCTTATTTGGGTAAAGGAACTGTCTCAAGTAAACAACCAGCTGCTGATTATTTCGTAAAAAAATTAACTATAAGAAATTAACACCGAAATATAACTATGGATAACTGGTTTACAAATACACCATTAGTTCAATCACTTCTAAATGAAGATCAGTTAACTGTAATAGGTACTGTAAAAAAGAACAAAAGAGAATTTCCAAGACGAATTTGTTGATATAAAATTTCAACAACTAAAGAAACTACGTTTTTTTTTTATTCCATAAGGATTTAATCGCACTATCGTATAAACCAAAATTAGATAAACTCGTATTGCTTTTATCATCGGCACATCAACAACCATCAATTGATGATAAAACTTTGACATCTGAAGTTGTATGTAACTGTAACAAATCAAAAGGAACCGTTGATACTTTCGATCAAATGTGTCACCATATGAATTGTGAAAGAAAAACACGTAGATGGCCTCTATGCATTTTTATAATATGCTAAATATGGCATGCATGAATTCGTTTGTCATATATAAACACAACTTCTACGCTAAACAAAATTTTGCTAAGCCATTATCAAGATTGCAATATATGTTAAATATACATCGACAGCTTACTAGAGAATGGCAAATAAATGGACTTAAAACTTCAACTATGCCAAAGTATCTATGTTCAATAATAGAAAATGCCATAAGTGATGAAAACGTTCATAAAGAGTATGAAATCGTACAAGAAGAAACAAGCTCATCAACATGCAAAGAAAATGATACCTGTAAAGGACATAGAAAATATTGTTCTTCTTGTTCATATTTTAAAAGAAGGTATACTACTACTTATTGCCGTAAATGTAAAAAGTCAATATGCGGTGAACATGATCAGAAATTCTGTTTAACTTATTGCAATACTAATTCAGAAGTCAAACAACAAAAATCAGCGTTAATTTTCAAAATTTTCACAGGACTAGTTTCGACGGTTTTACCGAACCACCATCATTCCACTCAGCTGCAAAACCGCAAATGAACAATTTTTTCTAGAGGATTTTCTAGAGGCATTTCGCATTCAAAAAAATCTTTCTGTTCTTGTTAACGATCCTAATTCCAATCCATCTTTGCCTTTGGCCTTTAAAGAAATTATGTTTTAGTTCTGGTTTCACCAACAGATGGCGCCACTTGCTTATTCTTGTCCAGGCTTTCTTATCTTATCTAATCATTATTTCCTATCTTGTTCATTTGCGTTTTGCAGCTGAAGATGGTGGTTCGGTAAAACCATCGAAACTAGTCCTGTGAAAATTTTGAAAATTAACGCTGATTTTTGTTGTTTGACTTCTGAATTAGTATTTATTCGGCGTGTTAATTATTACAATACGTTAGTGTAATTTTCATTGTTATGTTTTTCACCTTGTTTTCCTTTTTCACTCATTAAGTATGCTCATTTTGCTGAATTTTATTATATAGATATGTTTAATAAATAAATTTTTGCGTAGCATTTAAATGTATACACATATACAAGAATTATGTTTTTAAAATATGCTGTAAATGTTTTTTAAATATGTAGTGAGTAAATTTTACGTATGGTTAGTGTAAATGTACTAAAGGGTTAGTATTCTAGGGTTAACCAAAAAAGCGTCAAAACCTACGGAAGATCACAGGACGGAAGTCAAAATGCCCTTCAGATATTTGAAATTAACTGAAGATCTTAAACTACGTCTAAGAAATATGAATGAGAAGGAAAACAACTTCCTAATATTTTTATATGGCTGCATATTGTAGACACGACTCTACGATAGGAAATCTAACTCTTTATACTTCTATGCATATCAAGGCAGTGTATTTACATGGAATTTCACAAAACAACCTTGTGTGATTTTTGTCATCGACTGAAGCGGAATTTATAGAACTTTTCGAAGCAGCAAAGGGGACAGTTTGGCTTAAAGTGCTTTCGCAAGATTTCCAAGAAAACAAAACTGCTTGCTATACCTCTGAATATCCCGAGATATAATGATAATAATTAAATTTTTTATTAGCTTTGATTCGCCTATTAAAACCTTATGTGCCGTGATGTATGTTTTCGGCAGCCTGCCAGAGTAAGCTCTGAGCTTCAGCAGTTGAAATGTTGATCGCTGTAATGTGAATAACTTTTCCATTCTCTTAATAAATGTTTTATTAATTTACTATGTACGAAGTTAATGTAATCACTCGTTCTTTCGGAAATGTTTAAAAATGAGTATCGTTATATGATTACATTTTTGAATAACGAAGGTGGTTAATCCCAAAGAAATACAACTCTAAGATCATGTCTATGGTATTACTTCTCCTTCCTATTTTACAGTGAAAGAATGGGTAAAATTTTAAAAGGGGCCGAAAATGCATAGAATATAATTCTCTTGAAGATCAAATATTTGAGGTATTGACGTCAGAATATATTGCCGTTTTCTAGGAACGAAGTCAAGGAGATAACAGCAAGATTGAATTTATCTAAAATAACTATTTTGTACATGCTACATGAGCATCTCCACGTGAACAAAGTCTGGCAAGATCGCCATTTTACCACGATTCATAAACAGAGACGTGTCAATGGCCACCTTTCTTAAAGCACAGATGTAATTCTAAGTGATTATTATGTCTTCTTCACGCTCATATTAGACCTTCGTGGAAAAGGTTTTAATGACGATGATAGCACAAAAATGTAGCTGGGGAACATTTTGAGGGCAGACCTTCAGATAACTTTCTTAGGAGTGTTAGTCAAAGGCGTATCGAGATACAAGGAGTTAATATTAAAAAATAAACTATTAAAATTTTCTGCATTTTTTTTTTCAGAATTACTTTAGGTCGGAAACTTTTAGATCTACCTGCGTATATCATTAAAAGCACAATTGTTAGTATGGAAGACTCATTTAATAAACAGCCGTTTTTAAATTTTGGAAATTTGACAAAACACTTTGAGATACTCTTGGCAGGGTTTAGTTCTAAATTTTAAGAAATTTTCTTATTGAGTTATTTATGAAATATTTCATTAATACGTTTGCTTCTACAAATGAGGATACAGACGCTAAAAATGAAATTTATTTTAAAGCCATTCATATGAAGGATTTTTAATCTGAAATTATATATTCAAAACGATATAGCCCTAAGGTCACACCTCAGAATGATAAAAATTTCTGCAAGTGGATATCAATGGAAACAACTATACTTTATTGAGAAAATGAATTCTGCGTCCTAATTGCGTTTCCATATTCTTGAGAATTTCGTTCCAGAGAGGAAGAGTTTAAAATATAAGTATAGAGAGCAAATCACAGTTTGTTTAGACCTTAGTTACTTGCCATTTTGTGATAAATTAACTACGTTTGAAGGATTAGATAGTACTTCAAAATTAGATGTCGAGAAATGGGAAACAAAGTGTTCGGGAGGATAGCTCTTGCCAGTATCAAGAAAAAGACGGGCTCAATAACAATGAAGCTGGGCTGTTCTCGAAAATAATGACAGATAAAAAGTAACATTTAAAGGCCGAAGATGCACTGACGGAAACTGTCAAAAATGCAAATCATAATTCTTGTGTGTACAATGCGAATGACACTGAAAGTGGCAGGCTTTTGGTTACTAAAAATTCTCAAAAGGCAGGATGCTTAAAAAATGTGAAAATTCTTCCCGATTCCTTTAAAGATAATGTAAGGCAGAGTTAACATGAAAACTGTTTGAAGAAAAGTTATCAAAATATGATGAAGAACTCTGATAAAAGAGTGAAAGTCTTTATTCTTGACTGACAATTGCACTGCACACACAGATGTTGGAGACTTAGAATGAGTTATGATAGTTTACTGGTCCTCGAAAGCCATGCTGTAACCTGTGGACCAAGGCATGACCAGAAAGGTGAATTATAATTACAGAAAGTATCTTTTTTTAAGTATTTTGGAGAAGTACGACAATCATGTTGATTAAAACCGGTCTTGGTGCTTTGCTATGGAATCATTCATCTGCAACTGTTTTCGATATGCTGGTCTAGCAAAGGATGTTTAAAAATAGGATGATGAAAAAGAGGATTTGCCTACCTATAAATGGCTAGAAAAAAAAATGGCGTTTCAAACCGAATTTATGGTCCCTTGAAGTTCATTACAGCGAGTTTCAACTGTGTTACAAAATTTATGTAAGATACAAGCTTTGCAATAAACCTATCATTCGGAATTGCCCTCTTTGCGTAACAGTATTTTCTGATTATTGATACACTGCAATTAGTAACACTTCTTTTCAAACAGAAAAATAAATTTCAGTAAACTCCAATGGAACCAAGCAACTGCTTTAAAAGTAAATTTTATACTTTCTTCCTCTTAGTTTTTATTCTCATCAATTACTTGCATGTTAAGTATATGCTCCCAAAAGTTTTACTTCTGTTTAAACCTATTCAATTTAACATCATGTAGTTGCTAACTGATGAGAAAATTGTTTAAATATTCTTATGTGTGTGCTACAAATATCTTACATTTCCAATCCACCTAGCTATTAGTGGATTTCTTACTAGGGATTGAAACATTCTTAACATAAAATGCCCTCTTCTCACTTTCGACTAGCTCAAGGAAAACAAATGCAACAGAAACGGGAAGCAAACTTATGAAATAGAATGCATATTGAGAACAGAACTCATATTTTATTCATATTCCTGATGTGCAGAAATACGGAATTAAGAATGAATGTTTGAAATTAACTTTTGTGTCAAAAACGTTGCAGGATGTAGCTTTGCGACATTAAAATATATCTGCAATTTAACTTCATAGTTAACTTTTTATTTGGCTTCTAGGAACAAGTGATAAAAGCTTCTACAAGGAAAAGTGTTCAGGCTACAAAAGTAAAAGAAAATTAAGTATACTAACCATTTCCACTTCATCAAATGAGCGTAATTGCAAGACGTACATCCCGAGAGTGACATTTACCGGTAAACTCCTATCACCTGCCAAAAACAAAATAGTTATAAAGCAGATATATATAAAATATCGATTTTTATTACTCCACATCAGGGAAAAAAACAGCCTCTTATAATTTAGTTTTTAAGATAATACATTTTAATATGCATTTTGCTTAGCACTCCTACAGTTATTGAATTTACTCCATTAAGAGGATATCATCATGCAAAGTTTAACAATTCTCTTAATATTCAGAAACTGCATATATGAAGAAACTGATGTATGCTAGATTATGTTGTAATTTTATTGTTCAGCTTTCAAAATATTAGGACTTAAATGAAATGGAATTAAATAGTTTTTGTTTCTGGGATTTACACGGGAAAATTATAGTAAAGGGTTAAGAATTTGTTAAGCAAAGATTTCGGTATCTCTTCTGTTACTAGGTACCAGCTTAAATTAATTAATAAATAAATTCTTAAAAGAAAACGATCTTAACTGGTGTTGTATTCATTCTTCTAAACTAATCAAACTAAATGATAAACAAGTAAAGCATTTTTTACATAACTTATACAAAGGTCATTAAATTTTATTTTAGACCAAGATTATCATACAGCTCCAAAAGCTTACACAAATTGTTATTTAAAGCAGAATCATAAAAGTCCTTTAGTCGTTTAGTGGTTAAATATTGCGAAACCCATAACCCAAAAATTAGGCCATGAATTTTCCGCTACACATCATATATTGAATGTTAACGCTTTATAGATACATCTGATATAAAATGGCGAGCTATGAAATAATTTTTATAATGATACATGCAATTGTTAAGTTTTAATATCAGCTCTCGCACCAACTAAACTCTGCCATCCTTATGGGCTTACACTGTAGATTCGAGGTTTATGCTACTTTTATAAAAAGAAATAAATTCCAGCGTTTGCAGAAAATCATTTCCCTCAACATTTTATAAAGTCACTTGACGTCGTTGTTCTGTGGCACTGCTTCACAGATAGCTTGTCATTGCGTCAACCAGAGATAAAGGGTGGTTTTATTGACCACTTTTGCTGGAGCGGTGGCAGCGTTTTACTCTATGTACGCCGATGGATGGATTTGATTGTATCACTGAAGCTCTCTTGTTTACTCACTGCAGCCTCTGTTTTCCAGCTTTTCAAATTGACCATTTTTGGATGGTCACTCGCCTCCCAGCTACTCCGGTTAGCATAATGGCAAACTGCACATTTAGTTGACAATGTTAAACGAATTTAGCACTCTGCGCATGCCCAGAGGGGAATTTGGCGCAATTTTAAAACAGGATAAATACGGTATATTGTTGATTTTCTGTTATCTGGACGTAAACAGTTCGGGTTTTTAAAACTTGTTAGTTTGTTAGTTGTTTCATGAGTGTAAATACCGAATATAAATTAGCAAATTTTCGTTTAAGAAGGATTACAGAACAGGAAACATTGCAAAATATATTAGCAGAATGTTTATAGATTATACTTTAGAGGAATAAAAGCGATCGAGTATTTGCGATACGTTTCATTCGTATATATTTTAACAAATTAAGGAATAAATCCAGTTTAAATCACTGAATTAAAGTCAAAGAAATTATTATAAATAACTGACATTAAATGTAGTGTTTATGCACAAAATAAACCAAACTGAAATGAAACAAAAGCAAATGCAATAAACAGAAACGAATTTTCATAGTATTGTAAACAGTCGATAAGATCTACATGACGAACAGATTTGTGCAGGGTTGCTTATGCTTAGTCGCCAGTATTTATTTCCTCCCACGCCAATGGTACGCCACTGAGCATGCGCACTGAGCGAAATTCGTTAACATTGATCAATCCAATGTGCGGTTTGCCATTATTCCTCCGGTTAGCGCAAGAGAAAACTTCTAACTTGTCTAACCAAGGGTGATATCGCTGCTCTACGTCTTTGCTTTCCACCCTTTGCGCATCCCCTTTTCACTCTCTTTCCTCTGTCCGGCGTCTCTTCTCCGTCTTTAGCTAATAACAAATCTGGCAATTTTTGCAGCTGTACTGCTTGACAAAAGAGACTCACTTCTTCACGGCCTAATTTTGGTGCTGTGTAAGTTTTTAAAAAAATCTCTTTTTCAACTCTCGAGTGATGTCCGTTTTCCTTAAGTGAAAATGAAATTTATGAACTCTTGAGATTTCCAAACTGAGGGAGACTTCTGACAGAAGCTAATTTTAGAATTCTGGATGCCTTCTTTTGCTCACTTACTGAGATGATTTCCAAAAAAAGAAAAGGCAAAACAGACCAGAAAAACGTCTTTAGCCAAAAGAGGATTTGCTTTGAAAATGTTCTTGAATCGTCGCTGAATTATTTGACTGGGAGAGGAAGGTCATTATATAAAGGAATTGTACTCAAAATGTTCTAGAATATTCGATCTGATCTATTATTTAGGTTTACATCATTAAGTTATTAGTATTAAATGATTAAATGGTTGACAATTTCAATTTCAGTTTGCCATAAACTTACATGAGTACATTAGTTACTAGTATCATTCCTTTTATTTCAAGTATTCGCTTAGAATCTTCATATTTAAGCCAAAAAAACAATGTGTAGCCTCCTTTCCAGAGCATATTGCATATATACTCGGGAAAGGAGCCTAGATGGTTAATAGCCTGAAAGGAGTCTAGAGGGTTGACATATCTATGTCATCTATGTCAATAAAAATGATCAGGTAGGTAGGTAAAAGTGCATGGGGCACCAGAGACTTTATTGCAGAATCGAATAGATATTCCCCAATATACTAACGAGCTAGAGTTTGACATTTCTATGAAGTAGCACGAGGCTCAATGATGATGGATGTTATTAGGTAATTGGCTGAGATTAAACCCCGGACTCGCGGCTACTCCAAAGTGACCAGGGATTCTAAATTTTTATAGAAATATTTGAATCGAATGTGTGCTCTTTCTCATGGGAAACATTGAAGTTCTTTCATTTAGACATAAGTAGATATTTACATAAATTAGGCAAAGTTATTTAACAAACTGTGTATTATACTCATTGCAATATTAAATTACGCATATACAATAAAGCTGATACTTTGCAGATCGTTGTATTGGAATTTTTACATTTTTAAGCAAGTAGATATACATATGGGGGTTTGAGTTTACTAATATGGGAAGGTTGGATTCTTGTTACTTGAGGATGTTTGTCACAGATAATATTTACTGAGCTTAGATCTTCCAATCCATATTCCAAAGTTCATAAATAAAACTCATGGGCTCAGCTCGGTTCGCTTTTGAAGAATCATGGAGATTGTTGATGTTGCCCGGAAATCTGCGATTGGGTATTGCTCTTTACGCTTTATCAGTTTATCTAAGGTGTTACTTGGCATAGGTGAGCCCTAGAGCATTGAGAGTTTGGTGTATTGTCAAAATTTTTGGACATAGGGGGCGTTGAAATATCACTAAGTCTTTTGAAGATAAAGGGCTCGCAGGTTCTCTAACTTGATTACACGTAAATAAAAAATAAAGGCACATTAAACGACAAAACGTCAAAATCATCGATTTTGAGATTACCCACATTCCCGACAAAATGGGTACACCCAAACCGAACGTAAACTACAAGTAAACAAGCATCTGATATTCCCCAAGAGTACATTTTGAATCGTCCGAAATGGGTAAATAAAAGGATATTAGACTCTTTGATTGCCTACGCATTGTCTCGGTAGACTAGATTCTATCTCTGAAGTGCAAACTCTTTATCAACTACAGGATTAGAACCAGATCTTTTTTCCGCGCGGTACCATCTATGCATCTCCTAAATGCTAATCATTACACTTCTCCTAAATTCTGCCACATGGTGCGGCGGTTCTGATTCATAAGAGTATTTTCTGAAAATATTCGTGACTAAAAACCTGTTCTTTATAGAGATAATCTAAAAGGTTTGAAATCAAGAAGTGATTAATTTTTAGTGACTTTTCGTATATTTTCTTTGATGGTATAGATGGTACTGGGCAACAGTGGTGCAAGTCGTGTGCTAGCGAGATATTGGAACGCTCATGGATATCATTGAGCTAAAAGTGTGTCGCATGTTGCAAACAAGTCTTAGAAAGTAAAAACGTATTAATATGAGCTTGCGGATTGTACGTTATTGGATACTGCGTCTTGTATGGCTCCAGAAATATTAAAACTGGATCTTTCCCAAAAGAGACAAAGCTGTGGGGTCAGATAAATCCAATATCTTGCTGTAACAGCGTAACGAGAGAATACGGAAGGAGCAAGGACAACATACCGTGTATATAATCTGCAAATTTTGTTTTCATGGAGGTGGTAATAGCTGTGTGAGGATGAAAATCATCAGTAGAAGCATTATAAGACAACGGCTTCAAGTATGCAAGAAGAAGTTCTTAGATAATGAATTCTGAGATTTGCCGATTAACCATCTGCAATCATTTTTGAATTTTCACATATTGAAGTGAGTCAGCAGAATAAGGGGCCATCCTACTCGGCTACCACTAATATATCATGGACCTAATTCACAAAGTTAGTTTGGTTGAAGATAGTGGTAGTTATGTAATGAGGAAAAGCACCAGCCAATGTATCACAAGACAACGGCCACATTAGATGCTTTAGTATGTAGAGACATTAGGTATTTTTGGAAGCAGGCAAGATGAAAATTAGCAACGCCTTCTCCGGGTATCGAAACGCGGAAGTCTCAATTACGCGCTGAGTGTGCTGACCACTACACCACGAAGGCTCTCTAAGAAGGTGGGATAAATACCTTATAAGTATAAAATATGGAGCTCTTGGATACAGAATGTTAAAATCTGACGATTTACCATCTATTACTGAATCTCTTATATATTGATATGCATCTTCACAGGACCGGTTTATGCAATTTTGGGGTGCTCGCAGTTGGGATATTTGGGCTCCCCGATGGGAGTTTCGCTCAAAATTATGTTTCTGTAAACAGATTCTATGAACAGAGAATATTTCTATAAACTATTACGTAATTTACTGCTAATAATCTCTTTATTTAGAAAAAAAAATTGTAAGTGTATATGTAATAC